TCAAGAGTAATATACGAACCACTCGCAGAAAAAAGCAAATATATCGCCGAAATTTCGCGATTGTTTGATTACAATTATTGGATTGTGGCATGTTATTTATTAGGATAATTTGAAAAGAAAATTAGATATTTTAGAAGTAATATACATAGCGCTAATATGATGCTAATATTGATAACGACGAAGGTTGATATGAAATCGAAGTCGATGACCAATGTTGTTTCAATCGATCAATTAATTTAGGCATATTAGTTAACGATTCGGTTAATTCTCTTTTTCAGCTCAATCACATGCATATTTAATATTTTTATTCATCTAGATTCCAGGATGTTGCCAAAATGTCACAAAATTAGTTTCCTTTATTTTTCTCTCATGCTTTTCATGATCTTCTGCTATTCGACACATACAAATCGTACTATTACCATAATCTTATTCGGCATTCGACAACAAAGAGATATAAAAATATCGACACTGTCGTAGAATGCCACTTTCTGCAGTAATGATTATCAAAGCTCTACGAATTTCAGCGTTCTCTGAGAGAATGTTGCTGAACTCATACAAATAATAAGAATTGAGTAAACCAGGCATCCGATCACCTATGATTGACTGATGGAAATGCGAAGTTGCTCGGACTATATCGCGATGCGTAAGAGTAACTGTAAAAAGCGTTAGCCTTTTCCTCAATCCCAGACGGTGACAGACAACAGTTTTTAGGCATCAAGGTGGCTCCAGGTGTATGCGAAATAGCTTCACAACAGCTTTCAATCTAAAAGACCAACGGCTGAAAAGAAGGGACACATAAGAGGTCTAATCGTCCCACCAGTGCTTGTCTTGGCCAACCTTATTAAATCATATATCAACGGAAAGAGGGTGTGTGTGGGTTTCGGTTTAATAGGAAACAAGCTGACAACCCACACCCACACCCTTCAACAGAAGGAGGCTCCACGCGAAAACCATAGTTCTTACTTTTGTGACTGAACCTTCTTATCGAACAGGAGTGAAGAACTCCAGATAAAACTAGGCTTTTTTTAGAACCTTTAAAGTTTCAGAAAATGGCACCGACAAATAGAACCCTTAAAGGTTCTATATGACACTTTTTCTAGAGAATATATGAAGTCATTGGAGGAAGGAGGAAGGGATATGCTATTGATATCGCCCTAGAAGATGTTCATATTCATTTTGTTTAGAGACAGATCGTACACAATTTAATTTAATATAACTTGTTTTTCTTCTTTTTTAATTGCACATAAACAAACTATACAAAAAAAAATAAATCGAATAAACTATATTTGTTTTTCATCATCATCGTCATTTAAATATTTATGCCATTCATCAATTCTTTCTTTTACGTCTTCTTCTGGTTCTGCTACATCATATTTTGTTGAACCTAAAAAAGCAAAAAAAGAATTTATTCAATTTTTAACACAAAAAATAAACTATTACCATCCCAAGTTTGACATTGAATAACTCTTCCATACCAAATTCTACCATTCATATATTGACAACATGCATCAGCTTGATCAATATCTGCAAAGCCAACAGTCACAACACCGGCTGGATTTCCCTTTCAAACAAGAAAAAATAAATCTTTATTTAAAATAAATTTAAATATAAATATTTACATCATAAATATTTATCTTTTTAACTTCTCCATATTCACTACAAGATTCTCGAACATTACTTCGTAATCTATCAATAAATAATGGATCATGCTAAATAATAAAAAAAGAAATAGATAGATTTTATAAATATAGAAATACACAGTGTTTCAAAAGTTTGCCGGAAAATAGAACTTAAAGAACTCTTTAGCAATTCAATCGATTTACATGTTTATCTTATCACGTAATTCCACTCATATCAAAGTTTCATCCAGCATATTTCTGATGAAATATTTCGATATATAAGTACTAGGATATTAATCGTTTTATTAGTGATCATATGTATTGATATTATAGCAGACCGAGGACATTCTAAGCATCTTAGAGTAATGACATAAGAAACAGTCATTGAAGTTCATATTGATAGTGAAAGCCGATCAGCATCAAGTTGTTGGACTGTTTGAAAAGTTTTTTCAATATTATATTTAGTAAGACTAAACAAAGTTTAAAAGAGTTCATATCCATAGACCTCTGGAGTCGAGTTTTATAATCTTTGCACTGAATTTTCAGCCAAAAAGAATATTCGTTTGTCGAAATATTAAATTTCTAACAAATAGTCGTTGGTCACAGACATATCACAAAAATCAAGTTTACTTGAAAGTTCGACATGCCGACAAATCAACATTTTTTTCAACTGAAAATTTCAATGACTTCAAAGAAAATTCTATGTGATGTCTTTTTTTCAAACATTTGAAAACTGCAAATTTGCATATTTCAGTTCAGTATGCTCATTTCGAATAGTATGGTGCAAATTTTTTTTTCCGGCAAACTTTTGTAACATCTTATGAAAATAATTACTTTAAATTGTTGTAAATCAAACATATTTTTCATAGCAACAATTCTTTCATATTTATGTCTAATAACTTCTGGACGTTCATCCCAATTAAGTAATTTATCTACTTCAAATTGTTTTTTCTTTTTATCTATTTTTTTTCTTTTACGTTTTAAATCTGGATTAAATGTTCCTTTAACTTCAAATTTTGCACGTTCAACATGAATTCTTGATGAACGAAGGTCTGTATCATCAAGCATATCAATACATAATTTAACAGATTCAGGCTAAAATATTTAATAATTAAAACAAAAATGAAATTATAAAAGAACAAAAAACCTTACTCTTAAATACCGACATCTTCCATCACCTTTTGGATTTCCTTGTTCATCTCTATATAAACGAATTTTTTTGTTTCGTGGATCATTTGGATCTGGCGAAATAATTCCATATTTTGACATAAGTGCTTCAAATTCTTCATCAGTTATATCAAGTGGAAGACCACTTATATAAACATTACAATTTTTTTCATCAGGTAATTCAAACCAACCTTTGAATAATTGAGAAAAAAAATAATGATCGGTTCAGAATCATAGGTATCTCAGATTTCCAAAGTTATACTTTCTTTACTATCAATTAAATCAAATACGAATTATGTCATTAGAAAAAAAACCTGTGGATTTTATGCATACAATGAATCAGAAATAATTTCAATTGCAATCATTGATGATATTTCTATCATTCAGAAAACACCATTATTTATTTTTATACATCATTTTCAATGTAAGCATTTATAAAATGTTATGAATAATAAAATGAATGCGATTGAACATAGAATCGAACTACCGTCTAATTATATTGAGAAGAATTAACCATCTGAACTATTTTATTGCATAATTTATCGAAAATACAAGAAATATCTTTGACCTATTGAGACCTATTTGTTATGGGAAATAATATCGATTTGATGAACTCAAGAAGTAACATTATCTTTATCATTAACATTGACAAAGTTATTTATTGCTTTATTTTATTACTTTAACGATGTATATATTACTATGAATATATCCTTGTAAAGCATTACAAAAAAGAATATATGGTCAAGGCTATCATCAAACCTATGAAATAAATCATACAGTGATGAGAAGAGGGAAGCCAAGCATAACGATTATTTATCGTTCTAATCTGATAAACTAGACGAAAGATTCATTAAACGTAATCTTTCTAGAGAGAAAATATCATTAACAACTAGATGCTGCTTAACTTTATATTTACGCTAAGAAACAACGAAAATCTATACACAGTTCTAAGAAGAAACAATATATCCTAAAAGTTCAAAAACTTTGCTTTCCGATATAATAGAAAAAAAAGCAAGGTTAGAATATTTCAAAAAAATAAAAATTTTTCTATTTAATTTTATCTTACAATGCCGTAATACTAAAACGTGGATCCGGACTCAATTGAGTACAAATCCAATATTTTTTTCATCAATATCTGGCACCCTTCGTGCACATAAACAAGGATAAGATCAAGGTTTTAACTATTTATTCGCTACTCTTAGAGAAAAATTCACCGTTCAGTTATATCTTGTTGTTGTATCTTTCATCTGGAGAGCTGTGGATCTGTGGAAACGTGTAACCGGGTGCGACAATAAATAAAACATGAAACCTGGACTCGGACCTATGTCTCGAAGGATCTGCAGCTCCCTACTTTACACACAGTTTTTTGTTTCACGAAAAGATTTTTATCCATACCTTCCCTCCAGATGTTTTTCGAGTCAAGAGAGTTTACAGGTACTCCCTGAAGGAAGGAAGTGTTACTAAGGGGGTCTATACTTCAATATTTCTTTGAGATCATGCCATCATAAAACACACCTTCAGTTGGTTTCTTCTTTGTATCTTGTATTTGTGGTGGAACTGTTGGTTTTTGTTCTTTTGAAAGATCATGTTCATCTTCAATTGGTTCCATACCTTCATTATCCCAACTATTTGTTTGATTATTCCATCTATATTTAATTCTTGTAATATGATCTGTATAAGCATCAACAGTTGATAAAAGTTCCCATTTAAGTTGATCATTTAACCAAACATATGTTTGTTGTTTTCCTTCTTGATCATTTATTGAATAAGTGCTAACATCCGGTATCCATGTATTATGTTTTTTTGAAAATGTATATTTAATATGATTTGTTTCATCAGTATATGATTGTAATGGAATCCATTGTTGTGTATCTTTATCTAATTTATATGTCATACCATCACGTTCTTGAATGTATGTGTGATGATGTACATCATATCGTATACCTGATGAAGTTTCAAGACCATAATTCATATGATGTTCTACTAAAAATTCTTCTGATACCTTTGAAAATAGAATTTTTTTATTTTTCAAAAGAAATTCAATTTAAAAAAAATAAGAAAATCTTCAAACTTACTTTTGGAAACCTAGAGAAAACAAAAAGATAATAAGATATAAAAAAAAAAAGAAATGTATTAAATTTACCATCCTTTAACATTTGGATCCCATTCATAAACAGTTCCATCAGGATCAACTCGTGTTTTTGTTTGTTCTGCTTCCTTTTGTAATTTTTTTGTTTCTTCTAAACGAATTTGTCTATTAAACTCATCTTCATCTTCATCGTCATCATCATCATCATCATAAGTAGTTGGACGACTAGCACGTTGATAAACAACATTTCCTTTTTTCTTTTTAACTGTTGTTATTTCATTAATACGTTCTTCATCATCTGATGAACCAGTTTCATGTTCAGACATCTAAAAAAAAAAGAAATTCAAAAGGTAAATATTTTTTTAAAAAAATGAGACGTAGTGGAATGTTAAGAAACAAAAAAAAATTGTTTTTTGCGTTTTTTGATTTAAATTAAAGAAACAAGACTTGGTGGTACCCAACCACCCATGGCTTGTTCAATTTCTTGTGCGACAGCTAATGTCAATTGATCATGACCACGAGCAGCAATACATTGTATACCTAATGGTAATTGGTGACTATCTAAACCTAATGGACATTGTGTTGAAGGTAAACCCAATGCATTTATAATTCCACAATAAATATAATCAAATGTATTCATTATAACAGGCCAACCATGTAAAGGTGCTGATTGAGGAAATGTTGGCAAAAATAATATTCCATTATTACCTAATAATATTTGAATTTCATCATAAAATTTATGTGCTAATTTATGAAAATATTCATTATATTTATTTGGTATAGCTTCTAATATAACAAGACCTATAGCTGGTAATGTATGTGTTGAACGAAATAAAAATTTTCGTAATAATTCATGATAACCATTTATATATGATATACGATTACAAAGTGTTAATGAAAAATCACGTGTTGACATTTGACCATCAACCATCATTGATGACCATAGAGAAATAGCATAACGAAGACGATTTAAACGTAAACGTGTTACATGAATTTTATATTTATTTTCAAAATATTCAACAACCTATTAAAGAAAATAATTGATTTATTTATTAAGTTCTTTTTTTTTCGCAAAAAATTTTACTCGTCGATGAGCTAATTTTTGATCTCGATCAACTTTATTAACAAAATAAGCATCGATTTCATCGACATAAAAATAACGTAATTTACTTAAATCAACCTGAAACAAAAAGAAAAAACATAACAAGTTAAATATATTCAATAGTTATTTTACTTTTTCACACCTTAATAAAGCCTTGGAGAGACATGAATCTAGTGTCCAAAATACATTAGTTTGTACAATGAATTATTAAAGAATAAAACTTAACATCCAGAAAAATCTGTAAAGATGGGAGAGACTGAAAATGCTTTTACTCTTGAAATGCTAGAAGTGGTGATCGAGGAAAAGAACAAAATACATCGTGACCTGAGCGTGGGTATGGGTGAAAAATGAACAGCGTCCACATCCCACACTCTTTGAACATTAAATTAAATTAAATTAAAAATATCTCTTTGATTTCATAATTTTATTTATTGTTCTTAGAATTTTTGGTTAGTGTTAGATAAAATAGTGTTACTAATGGACAAAACTGAGTCATCTATCATTGTAAGCAAGTCGAATTCCGTGGAAATACGCCAATGAAATCCTGTATAAGAATCACATTTCAGCAATTTTATAACACTAGTACTGAGAAAAAAGTCAATGAAATGTAAAAATGAGTTAGGGTGAAGTATTTAGTCTATTGCACAAGCTTGCTCATTACTACAAACAGCTACATATCGAATCATGACGGAACATCTCTTATAATTGCTGAAATATAATTCGAATACAGGATTTAATCAGTGTGTTTTTGTCGAATTCGACTTGTTTACAATGGTAGCTGACTCAAATTTGACCATTAGTAATACTATTTTAATTGTAACTTCTTTAGACATACACATTTTATCTGAAAACTTTAATGAATATGTGATCAAACGTTAAAAATAAATATTTAAATTCTTTGAATTGCTGAGAAGATATTCACGCTTTTTTTTCCTCATTCAAACTTTTGAAACATACATTGATATATCAGTACAAAACTATTTGTTTATGTCAAAACTTAGCATTTAAACTATTTGATAAATAATAGAATGTGTTAAAAAATTTCTTTCGATTAAAAATTTTCTATGATTAGGATTAATATACATTGAACTTACATATTCTAAATAAATTCATCTAACTACTTACCGAAATATCAAAATATAATAATCTTTCAATATTTTGTGGACCTGCCAATACTTTAAGCATTGGTTGTAAATCACATGCATAACGACACATTGGTCCTGTAGATAATAAATATTTTTGATGATGTTCTTTATGTGGAGGATATTGACCATCATTTGGTACAATATCTATTCATAAATAATAATAAAAAAAAACATTCTTTTTACTAAAAAACGAATTTCTTTTTTCTACCAGGTGTTGTTTTATGACCAAATATTCCATTCATAAATGAAGGTAATCGAATACTTCCACCAATATCTGCACCAATAGCAAATGGAACACCAACTGCTGAAACAATACAGCCAGCTCCACCTGAACTACCACCTACAATTCGTGTTAAATCATATGGATTATTTGTTGTACCATAAAGAGAATTTCGTCTTGAATAATAGAGAAAAGCAAAAAACAAAAAAAAAATTATTCAATTTGAATTTCTTAATAAAACTTACGATTCAAACCACATACAACCTTCACTAACATTTGTATTACATAAAAGAATAGCACCTGCTCGTAACATATGAGCTACTGATGTTGCTGTTCGTGTTGATATAAAATCTTTTCTTGCAGCAATTCCTGTTGAATTATGAAAACCTGGAAATTCCATTGATTCTTTAATAGCAAATGGTACACCAAGAAATGGAGCTCGTTCTTCACTCCATTCATTTGGTAATAATCGTTGTCCATTTGCAACAGCATCTAAAATACTATCAATTTCTTGTGCTTCAATTAATGCTGCTGAAAATCTTTCATCAACATAAACATTTAAATATGGTTGAATAGATCGAGTTCGTTCAATACAAAGACGAACAACTTCATAAGATGTTACCTTAGAAAAAAAAAAAACCTTGAATTAATATATTTCTTTTCATATTAATTTACTTGTCTTTCTCGAATTCGTTTCGCAATTACAGTTGCTGGGAGAAGTAATAATTGATTTGTAATAGGTGGTAAACGAAATTTTTGATTTCCATATATTAAACGAAAACCAAGTTGAATCCATATTGAAAGAAAAGAACGAATTAACCAAATTATAGATGATATTATTTGGAGAGATTTAGGCATTTGATAAAAAAAAATTATTTGTTTTTTTAAATAAGAATAAGTGAACAAATATAAATTTCAAGCAATAAAATAAAATAAGGAGAATATTAATGGACAATTTTTTTAACCAATCTCAAACAAGTTCAATGTTTTGCTTCGATAATTTTATGTATAAATAATGGTTTGATATTACTACTAGCGACATTTCAAAAGGTAATAATAACAACCAATGTTATAATAAAAAACTTTTAAAATAACTCAAATTTTTTGGAAGAACTACCTGTAGAGGGAGGGTGTGACACATCGTCTGTCACTTACTCATTTCTTTTCTTTTTATGTAATAATATTCATGAAGAAAAAAACGATCATTCATCAGTAGAGTTTTTAACTAGTTCTGATGAGATAGTTCGTTATAATCATTTCTACGGGAACTAATTTAATTTTTTCTTATTGTATTTAAGACACTGATTGTTCGATTACTGACTCTAGCACAATTATTCAATCATACTTTTTTTTGATAACTTGACCCTCATATCAGACATGATGTTATGGCAGTATCGATTGTATGGAACTGCGGGTTCACGTTTTTGTGGACCCGGATTCGGATCTGGAAGAATCCGCAGCTCCATAACCGATTGTCTCATTAATCCTTCAATTACTATCGTTGATGATGATGATATCCACATTGATATGAATGTTTTGATTCAGATAATCGATTTTATGGATTAATGTTTTTATTAATAACATTATAATTATCGTGTCTTGTTTATAGTGGCTGACATAAGTTTAGAGTAGCTGTATTTTTGAGTTTTGTTTTACTATGCTTTCACAAAACCAGTTTTCTAGCATCCATGTAAAGCTTTTTGGAAATAGTTTTATTTTTCTTTCAGCTACTCAAATATTTTTTGAGATTTTTTTCTAGCCATTACCATCGAGAAGAAAACTCAAAAGTACAACTGCTCTGTCATTGTTTATTATTCCTGTGTACTTATGAGTTATTCTGTAGTACTTACAAAACCTACAGTGTATGATGAAAACCGACTTTTACTTAGTACATCAATACTGTAAAACAATAAATCATTATTGAATACGTGCTAGACTGATGTATCAGTGTAACAATATCCATGAACTCTTCTCGTTAGTTCTAATTCTAAAATGTATCTATTCAATCTTGAGAGAAAAAATGAAACAGATATAATTAGGAGCAATAGGAAGACACAATAAAAGTCTAGCTATCGCTCTCTTTGAAAAACTCAATTTTCTACCGAAGACAATTTCGATCGGCTCACCATACACAGATTATTTATGACTGTCCAGTATTATATTGGATGTTGATTTTTAAAAAATTTTTTTTCTCATCAAACCTCACGGAAGATAATATGATAAGTTACTTGTCAAACTAGATCATTTTATGATCGCCACACCTTTGATCAAAATGTCATTTCAAATTTATGTTTAAGAGTTTTTGAATCATTTTGAAGCCGTTTATCAATCTACCGAACATGAGTATGATCAATAGTGACATAATTGCATTTTTCATCCATAACAGACTGTACAATGCACGTCACGTTCGTGCAGCTTGGTGTGCGTACCAAGTGTGACAAATCAGCATAGTGATTTAAAATCCAATTAATGAGTATAAATAAAGAGAAAACTGTTATTTCTTTCGAGTATGTCCCTAAGTCTCATATTGTAGCATCTATTTCTGATTTTATTTTTGTTCTTATATTGCTGAAATATGGAGAGAAATTATGAGTAACTGTCAACAAATAAAATCAAAATGCTCGATAAAATGAATCATGTCATTCAAATTCGAAAAGGTCTTCAATCATTGTAACATCTATAGCAGTCGGATGATTAAGTATGAGAATGACCAAACAATTATGTTCATATTTTGCAATACATATTTTATATGATCAATATCGCGTATTTAGTCATGGAGCAAATAAGACTGAATATTAGGACACGTTCATTGCGAGCATTTACTCATCTTCAGACGAAAATGTTATCGAAAGACAATAATTAATTTCAGTTATGATGGTGCACAAACCATTGCTACAATTCTATTAGTAAATAAGATCCCAAAACATCTTATTATTTGTAGTAAGATTAGCATAAACAGTAAAATTTTGAATATATTTTCTCTAACAAAAATGAATAAGGTGTCACTCTTCCATCTATTATTCTACAGAATGTCGTACAAAGTGACGCAATTATAATGTTGACAAAAAATAGCTGCATGCATGTCCTTTTTTTCTTTCTCAGTTGTAATAGAACGTATACACTCACAATCTTTTCTAAAAAGAAAAGTGCAATTGTTGATGACAAAGTTAAAAAATAAAATAACTCTGGAAAAAGTATGAGAAGAAGACTGTGATAGTATAATAATGTTTGAAGAATGAACTCATTCGTTCTGTTAAACTTCATATATATTTACTACGTAATTTATTTTATCATTATGACATCGACGAAAATATATTAACCATGTTATTGAGATCATTATTACATTTTTGTAGTTTGAGTATTACTTATACATCTGAGACAAAACAATCAATATCAATTTTATTTTATGAAAAATAATTTGTAAATAGAATATAATATTATATACTTGTTTCAATGATAACAATTTCGTTAAATAATATTATGGTAGAGTAATATATATATATGTGGTTTTTCGTTTTAATGGAGGACCCATAAGGTCATATTTTTTTGCCTGATCATTTGACTATGTCACAAGTGTATGATCTCTGTTGATAATTAATAGCTGGTTATCAGTGAGAAACAAAGCATTTGGTGAAAAATGTTCTCTCTTGTTATCAATTTTTTGCCTATTAAAAGGCAAACGTGTTTTTGTTTTTTTTCGTATTCTATCGACACACCGACACATTATCAACAATGAGAAAAAGTTTAATTATTAGTTTATCACTATTCATAATATTGTTGAACAATGTTGCCAGTTTTGATTTAACGGAATATCAGTTGGCTGTGGAAAAATTGGCTCTTAATGAATCCTTCGTAGAAGAATTTACCAAATGGTCACTCGAATTAATGTCCGACCCGGATTATCTCTATGGTACATCTCCGCAACCATTTCCTTGTTCAACAAAGAGTATGCGAAGTTCAGAAATTCCCAAATCAGTTCATGCTCTACGACCGGGTGATATTCAATGTGTTGCAGCCATGGGTGATAGCTTAACAGCAGGCATGGGTGCTCATGCTATTACTCCAGTCGGTGTTCTATTAGAGAATCGAGGTAAGTTGTTTTCTTGCTTATCTCATCTTAAGTATTTCATTGTGTCATTGCTTTTAGGTGTTTCTTGGTCTATCGGCGGTGATCATAATTATGATAAACACATGACATTACCTAATATTCTCCGTCTTTATAATCCACAATTGAAAGGTTTTTCAACCAAAACTTCAATATCATTTCTCAATGGTCAAAATGCAAAACACAATGGACTTAATGTTGGTTAGTATTATTTTTTTTTCGTTACTGTTATTATTTCTATTAATTAAAATTATTCTTTTTATTCCAGCAAAATCAGGTGCTCGTTCATATGATATGGTCGATCAAGTTCATCTTCTCTTAAATCGTTTAAAGAATGAAAAACTCTGCGATTTGAATAATGATTGGAAGTTAATTACATTATTTATTGGAGTATGTTTTCTATTTTCATATGTTATATTTCAACTATCGATATATTTAGGGAAATGATTTATGCGATTTTTGTAAAGATTTAACGAAATATGATCCAGTAAATTATATCGGACGGGTTCGTGAAACACTCGAATTATTGTACAATGCTAATCTACCTCGTACATTGATTAATCTTGTACCTGTACTCGATGTTCGTCCTGTAAAAGAACTTAAAAATGGCCATATTGTTTGTGAAATACTTCGTCAATTTTCATGTACATGTGCAGCATATCCTACGAAAGAAGACGCGAAAATACTAGATCGATGGATTCCTTTATATCAACAAGGTCTTGTTGATCTAGTTAATACAGGTCGTTATGATGGTCGTGATGATTTTACTGTTGTTGTTCAACCATTCTTTATGGAAACAAAACCACCTCAAAAAAATGGTAAAATTGATCATAGTTATTTTTCTCCTGATTGTTTCCATTTTAGCGGTAAATTTTATTTTGTATGTTACATCGTGCATAGTTTTTGTTTCATTTTAGGTAAAGGTCATTCAGTTGCAGCATTATCACTTTGGAATAATATGTTCGAATCAGTTGGTACGAAAAAAACCTCATGGCATCATGGTGAACCATTGGAATGTCCTACAGAAGATCATCCTTATATTTATACATCGAAAAATTCAATGCAAAAATAGAAACGTCCAGTATATACTATTTGTCTAAATTTTGTTTCCCATTCTTGAAATTTTATCTTAATTTTAAGACTGAATAAAAACAAATGACGCTATGATAAAAAATCGTATTATTTTGAAGTGAAAAAGAAAAAAAAAAGTAATGATGAGATCTTATCGCATCATTTCAATTGATTAAAATTCGTTATGTTTACAGAAATAAGTAATATTATTCTTCTTGAAAAACAAGAACTTATTATTGAAATCTTTCTGTTAATTAAAATTATACAAGATGAAGCATTATTATTGAGATACAGCAATCATTATGAACAAGAAAGAAAAGTCAATATTCATAGTAATGGTCACATCGTAAACACTATGTATCAAAATATATTGATAAATCGACGCATTTCTTTCGATTCTGATTCTTCGAAGCCATTTCTTTTTCAATTACTCGTTGTTGTTCATTTAGTACAATTGATGATTTTCGATCGCATCGGACATGGAAATTTTTATCAATATGATGGACTGAAACTGCATAACATTGAATATCTCTTAATTTCACCGATATTATTACTGCAAGACTGATCACATAGATTTGATAACTTCTAATCTAATGAATATTTCGTCGGATAGGAATTGATCGGATCACAACTAGGTCTATTTGAAAAGTTTTTTTCGCTGTAAATTATAAAATAACTATATTATACAGACTATGTGAACATATTCTAAAAATATTTGTATTAGAAATCGAATGGGTCTGAACTTTAGATGATCTATACTTATATGAGTAGGTCAAACTGAACCGAACCAGTCAGTTTATCGGTTTAGCCGATCTATCGAAAGTCAGCTGCCGTAAAGTTTGTTTCGGTGTCAATTCCATCTCATATCCAGGCTGAGAAGATAAATTCTGAACATAAAAATCTTGAATTCCGAAGTGTCAATAAAGTAAAATTTCGAAATACAAAATGTCCTCTCATTCTATTAGCACTTAGAGCAGATGTGGAAGACTCTGCCCTACACTACATTCTTTCATGTGCATAACTGATAAAATCAACGAATTTTAATCGACTGTCAAACACAAAAAAAAAAGATGATGATGCACATGCGAGTGTTCTCTTCACTCACATAGACATGTGTGTTCGTTCTATCAAATGAGACATTTAGTTTTTATTATTAAAAGCGAAAATATTTATCGAAAATGACAAAATTTAGAATGTTATGTTTTACGTTTTATTATCTACTACTACATCATACTAAAAAAAAGTATGTGGATGATTCATCGCATTATTTATTTTGTAAAGAAACAAAGAACGATATCGAATGATTAGAAATCTGTAATGAATCAAAAATATTAATTCCAAATGAATATATAGTATGATTAATGATGTCACAGAATGAGTAAGAGTGTCATTTTCTTCTAAATGTCAAAATAGAATAATCAAGGAAATATTTCAATCAGGGATCCGGAGAAGGATGGAATGGAACAAAAAAAAATCGTCTCATAGAACAACTGATCGGTTCTATCAGGTCTTGAAGAATCTTGAAAGACAAAAATTTTTAAGCCTTCAATTGACTTTTCACTGGGATCCGTTTGAATTTACTGGATTCCACCAGAGTCCAGGATCGATTTGTCGCTTAGAATATTTCAATTCTTTGTCTCTAAGTGTTTAATACGTGATAACGTTTCCTCTTCAATGTATTTTTCATCTATAAGTCTTCAGCTTCTGATGAGTTTCATTAACCCTTCCAGATTGATAAAAGTCACTGAAGATCCTTATATACTATAGTACAATCTGGTAGTTTTCTTCATGTTTTTGTGGAATCGAATGAAATCTATAATATTTGAGATTGAGATGAATCCATCAGGATCTACTGATTAATGTTTCTCTGAACTAAAACTTGTAAAAAATTGTGTCGAAAATTGTTTATAACTATATATTTGTATCTATATAATTAATAATTATGATGAGGAGAACATTGAAAAATGTTTTATATTTTTCGTACAAGAAAATCAATAATGAACCTATTTGTATGGAAGAAAAAGATCAACAATAAAGTTACTAAAAATCCTAGTATGCATCATATCTCTAAAGTATCTTGAATTCATACAACAACCGAAAATAACCGTGCATTTTTTTTTCATGAGATAAAAGCAAAAGGAAATTCGTTCTGTTTTGTTCCATCCAATTTGCAGTTCTGATTTCAATTCTTGTTTCAACATTTCATGATTGCGACAAATATTCTAGAAATAACTCCGTGAATATTACTAATATCATTTACTTTTTTATAGATATTTATTACTAAAAATTAGAAATGTGGTTCGGTTTTGTTTTCTTGAAAGAAAAATTAAACGTTGAGTACGTCTTTCGCATCACTAGGTCGCTGCTGTTGCATTTTGTTAATCGATACTAAATGATAAACAAAATTTTCCTCTTCCCCCGCCATCACCTTCTTCAATACTTGTATTTATGACGTATTCAATAGAGCACCAGCTGGTACTGCATTATCACATTAGAATGAGAAAAAAAAAACAAAACGAATAAAGTTTTGTTCGATAGACCGTCATTGTCGTTAGTTTTTTTTTTTTGATATCCACATCTCTCATTTTGATGGCAAAAACATTCTAAAGAAATATAAAACACTCGGTTTAATATAATATTTTCTTTGACATATATATTCGAAATAAATTAAAAAATGTTAAAAGTAACTGTTCACAATGCAGAACGTATTCCTAATATGGAACGATTTACTAATGTTGATCCAATGGTGACAGTTATTTTTCAAGGTATGTACATGTATGAAATTTACAATCACTTATCATGTGGGAGTTAATAGTCACATAAAATAGAATAGCGAAATATTTATTATTGATAAAACAAAACGAATGATGGATGATGTTAATGTTGCAAATAGAGATGGACTTTTTCGAGTTATTATACACAATGTTAATAATGTTCCTTCAACAGAAAGATTTCGAGGATCACCAGATCCTTATATAAATATCTTTTATCATGGTAGTTTCATTATCATTTTTTGTTTTATTTTTTTTTTTTTAATTATTGAATTTTTCATTATATTTACTTTTATTTTAGGTATTAAAAAACAAACTAATTGGCAACGATCAACATGTGATCCAAAATGGGAAGAAGTAGATTAAATATTTTATTATTTTTTTTTTTTTTTGTATAATTCTATTGTCATATTGATTTAGACACTTGATTTTCCTCTTAATGGTATTCCAATTCAAAGTACAGACACACTTGAAATTCATCTTAAAGATCATGAAACAATTGGAGCTAACAAGTATATTTGTCGTGTTTTTTTTTTGTTTTAATGTTTGAAATCTTTTATCATTATCTTTCAATTGTTAGACTTATTGGACAAGGATCAGTACTATTAAATGATGTTATGCGTACTAGTACAATAAAACGACGTCTTGTTCAATTAACAAATCCTCAAGGTGTTCTTCTTGAAGCTGTATGTTTAACATAGATTTATTTTTCCTTATATTTAATTATATTATTTGAAATAGACTAAATTATATATTACATTGGAATATACTTCACCAAGTTCTACTGAAAAAATGCCAATAAGTTTAAAAAGTGGTAAAAATTATTCATTTCTTTATTTGAAATATAATTTCTTTATTTCTTTTTTTTTGCGAATAAGGTGATCCAAATCAATTTGATGATGTACCTTTACAAAATATTGGTGATACATCATGGGCATTAGAAGCTAGTGGTGATCAAGGCATGAAACGACCAATTAAATCACGATCAATGAAAGCACAAGATTTTCAAGTTGATTTTCCTTTGTTTTTTATTTCTTTTGTATTATTTTGAAATGATTAATTTTTAGATTCGAATTAAAATTTTTCAAGCTCGTCAATTAGATGGAAGTAATTTACATCCTGTTTGTCGTGTACGAGTTTTTACTTCTGTTAAACAAACAAAAATTCAAAAAGGAACAAATCAACCATATTTTAATGAAGTTTTCTTTTTTAATATAAATATGTCTGAAGCTGAATTATGTGATGAAATGATTGAATTTGAAGTTTGTAATTCGAGAACACTTCGAGCTGATATGAAAATTGGTACATTTAAAATGGATATTGGTTATATTTATTCTCAACCAAAACATTCAATTAATCGAAAATGGTTATTATTAAGTGATGAAGATGATCGAATGGCTGGTGCTAGAGGTTATCTTAAAGTATCTGTTAATATATTAGGTCCAGGTGATGAAGCACCGGTAAGAATTTCCAGTTTTGTCGAACGCACATAGATTTTCGAAGAAAAGCTGGAATTTATAGGAACGAGTAAACACTTATAGTAAAAATTTCAGGCCGATACGTCATACTAGACCGAATTTCTAGTTTGCTTATGTGGCTTCCAGGAGAATCGTTATAACTTCAACACTATGAGAGGTACAGAGCTCGGATTGGTTTCAAATTAAAGCTAACATTTGTGCGCAACTTTTCTCCGATCAGAATGTTGAAATTTCCTTCCATTTATTTTTTACTGAGCATTTTAATCGACGTGACGTTCAAATAAGCACAAAAAAGTTTCCTCTCATGAAGACCTTTAAAATAAGAAAAAAATATTGAGTATATCTTGAACCGAGTAGGAGTTATTTCAATTTTCATGCCTGGAAATCATGTTTTGGGAAAAATGCTAAAGAAGTTTTAGAAATAGATTTTTTCGTTCAAATCCAGAAAAAAATTTATATGAGAATTGTATATATATTTAATACATTTCAGCGGACTGTTTTAAAACATGTGACAGGTGAAGATGACTAACGAAACCTGTCATGCTGGTTAATGTAAAAATGATCTATTCAATGCTAATAAAAGTTTTTCCAAAATAGAAAAATTTTAAAAAATCCACGAAAATTTCTCTAAAAACATTATAGTAGAGTAGAAGTTTCCTGTGATAAGTCTGTCAAGTTCTGGTTGTTTTGCAGAAAGCCATATATATTTTGAAAGCGGAAGCTTCGGCGCATTTTCCTATGACAAACATTCAACTTCGATATTTTTTTCGAAAAATTAGGTTTTACTGAGGGGCTCCCTCAAGTTAAAGTTTTGCGGTTTCTCTTTTCTTAACCACAGACCTTAGCAAGCACAGTTGAAGGTCATTGAGTCAGTTTCCAAAGAAACCGTATATGTAAGTCAATCATTTTAAAACCACTGTCACTCATAGTTATGCAACAGAACCCGCTCGGCTGGTTCCGGGGCTCGGCTTCGAAAATTTTGGATCCGATGGGCTCTAGTCGTCTAAGATGTGCTAGTAATCGAATAAAAAAAATCGGAAAAAAGCATCTCGTATCTTCAAGACGACTATCCAACGGGATCCGAGCCCAAAAATTTTGAACCTGACAGTAAAGTTCATCGGGTCCGACCGTGTTCGGGCCTGAAAATTGTTGAAACCGATGGGCTCTGTTACGCAGGCAGATATAGGAGGCTTGCTTAGCGAATAACGTCGGTTGAAATTTTAAGATCAGAAATACCAGTAGACAAAGGAAAGAGTGTAGATTTAAGGTAGTAATAGTGAGACAATGTTTAATGTTCGAAAATGTATGTGAATTTCAAAGGGGCTGCGCTAACAAACTTTTAAAATTTGTTTATTTTAGTCACAAGAAAATGCTGCTGATGATGATGATATTGAAAGTAATCTATTAAAACCAGCTGGTCTTATGCTTCGTCCAGCAACATTTGTTTTAAAAGTATATAAAGCAGATGATTTACCAAGAAGTTTGTATTGAAAAAGATGTTTTTGTTTTTGTTTTATATTTTGTAAAAATATGAAAATTTTTCTTTTTATTCTTTAGTGGATAGTGCATTTTTAAATGGAGTTAAAAAACTTTTTCATGCAGCAGAAGATATTAAAGAATTAGTTGATCCTTATGTTGTTTTTTCATTTGCTGGACAACAAGTATATTTAATTAATTATCAATAAATCTTATTTTCTTGTTTTCGTTTGTTTTTTTCTTCTTATTTACATAGGTTTCAACAAAAATTATTTATACATGTTCACATCCAGAGTTTAATCAAGAACTTCGACTTGGTCTTAAAGTAAAATATTCATTTTTCAATTCATTTTGTTTTTCTAATTGTAATTTTTAATTTAGTTTCCATCAATGTGTGATAAAATAGTACTAACTGTTATGGATTGGTAAGAAAAAGTTTTTTTTTTTTTTTTTTTTTCGTTTTTATAATCATTAAATATTTGAAATGTGAGAATATATAATAAAACCTAAAATACACAGGGATCGTCTACAATTCGATGATATAACATGTTCAACATTACTTCATATTAATCGTTTATGTGATGATCGAGAAAATGGTATTAATCATTATATGTTAATGGGCTTTTTTTATTGCACATATTTGTTTTGAAAATGAAATAATGATTTTATGGGAGCATATAAATATTTATTTTTTTTGTTTTTTTTCGTTTTTTTAAAGGGACAAAATATCATCTGATGATATAGTTTCAAGAAATTTTCTTCATCTTAAACAAATAAGTCAATTAAGTGATGAGGGTATTTAAAATAATTAGATTCGCTTTGTAGAAAACAAATATAGTTAATGTCTCATAGTTTTAACTATTTTGAGAAATCATATATACATATACTAGTCAGTGTTTTATAGATATTTTTAAAATAATAGTTTGAAAATACTTCCTTGTGAATTTCAAAAAAATTCTCTATGTAGAAATTTATTTTATATTTATGGGATTGGATTCTTATGTTTTTTTTTGTAAAATATTTTATTTTGGTGATAAAGGGATCGCTTGACGCATAGTGATACAATTGGTGTTGGTATTCTTGAGATATTCACTAAAGATCATGGTAGAATTTCGAATAGTTCTAATGATTTTCAAATAGAATTATTTCATTTTTTTCAAAGGTTTTCTTCCAACATTTGGTCCATGTTGGATTAATTTATACGGTTCACCACGTGAATATTCTGAAGTTCCAACAGTATTAGATGAATTAAATAGTGGAAAAGTAAAATAAGATAAATCTTTATGTATTATATTTTTAAATTTTATTTTTTGAAAACTAAGGGTGACGGTGTTGCTTATCGTGGTCGAATATTTGTTGAATTACAAACAATTCTTGGTGAAACTCCAAATGAACCTATTGGTGAAATATCAAATTCAGATTTAATTCGTACATTACCATATCAATCACGAAAAAAATATAAATTACATGCAGCATTTCTTGATGCTTGTATGTTATATGAACATGAATCAACAATTGAATTTGAAATAAGTATTGGAAATTATGGAAATAAATTTGATGATCTTGTTGGTAATGCAAGTTGTTCAACAACACCACCAGCAAATCCTGTTTTTGATGGAACATCTTATTATTTTTTACCATGGGGACATATAAAACCATGTGTACAAGTTGCAAGTGAATGGGAAGATATTACTTTTCGTTTAGAAGCAATGAATCAATTATCAAAAATTCGATTATTTATTGTATATTATTAAATTCATTTAGAAAGACAAAAATTTTTTTTTTTTTTTTTTTT